GTCGTTTAAACCCTTACCATACTATGAAGTTTTTATCGCAAATTATGACATAATATACCATGACGTTTTTTTGACATTTTTATGCCATACTATACTATGACAGTTTTTGAAATGTTTATGCCATAATATACTATGACGTTTTTTGACATTTTTATGCCATACTATACTATGAGATTTTTGACATTTTTATGCCTTACTATACTATGTAGTGTAAACCCTTACCATACATGACGTTTTTGTCACCTTTTATGCCATAATATACCATGATGTTTTTTTGACATTTTTATGCCATACTATACTATGACGTTTTTTGACATTTTTATGCCTTTCTATATTATGTTGTTTTATTCCTTACCATACTATGACATTTTTATCGCCTTTTATGCCTTAATATACCATGATGTTTTTTTGATGTTTTATGCTATACTATACTATGACGTTTTTTGACATTTTTATGCCTTACTATACTATGTCGTTTAAACTCTTACCATACTACGAAGTTTCTATCGCCTTTTATGCCATAATATACCATGATGTTTTTTTGACATTTTTATGCCATACTATACTATGACGTTTTTTGACATTTTTATGCCTTTCTATATTATGTCATTTTATCCCTTACCATACTATTACGTTTAATGAACTTTTATGACTCAATATTTTTTTTGACATTTTCATCCTTTACCATACAATGACGTTTACTACCACTACTATAACCGTTTTTTTTTTTTTTTAACTTTTTATGCCATACCATACTATGAATTTTCTTGGCAAATTTATGTCTTACTATCCTATTACGTTTTTTGACTTTTTTTATGACATAGTAAAATATGATGTTTTTTTACATCTATAATCTGACGGTTTTTTGAAACTTACTATACTATGACTTTGTTTGACACTTTCATGCCTTACTCTATTATGATGTATGTTCACATTTCCATGCCTCCCTATACTATGACATTTTAATGTCTTACAACACTACGATGTTGTGGTACATTTTTATGCCTGACATTTTTAAACATTTTTATGATGATGAAGACGAAATACTCATAGTGAAATGCAACTTTATTAAAGGAACATCCTTATCAAACGTTTGTATATGATTTTCTTAAAAGTTCCTTATTAAATTCAAACATACAATGTTTTACTTTTGCATATATAATATGAACAAATACTGACAGGCTTTGGGATATATATAAATTACATATTAAGTAACAAATGTTTACAACATAAAAAGACGTACTAAAATGCATATTTCTATTAGCTAGACATTTATGTCAATACATGATATTGTTCCAAAATTCTGAAACAGGTTTCATATGTAATTTTCACACATTTAGGCTATACCTTAAAAACATATATGATTTTACTTCAAATGAACATATATTTCATATATAGAAATTCAACACATTATTACATTTGCGTATGGGTATTCCTTAATGTTAATTCAGATCTCATATGTTCATGAACCGGTTGGTGGATGGCAGTAAAAAGGTAATCTCTTAGTTTTGGAGGGGTGGCTTGGTTGTTGAGTTGTTGAGACCAAACTTACGCCCTTGATATGTAGTGATTTATCCTATTTTTCCTCACGAAACGGTCCTGTGTTGATACCATGGTTGATACTTCCGATTGAGACAACGTTCGGTCTCGCGAGAACAGCGCGTTGTTATTGCTAACAGATAGCATAGCTAGCATTAATCGAAGCTATCTATATTTCTGCTGTCTTTCGTTCCTGTTGGACTCCAATGGATGCTCTCGTGTCCCTGGACGACGCAGAGAGGCCACGGCATCGTCCTTTCTTAATCGGCGTCAGCGGAGGAACTGCAAGCGGCAAGGTCAGTCATTTTGAGCCGGAGGATCTCTGCGACAACGAAAATTAGCATCACGAGTAGCTTAGCTTAGTTTGCTAGTCAAACCAACCGTCAAACCAACTGGCACGCCCCTTTGCTTCGTGAATATTTTCTTTATATTATTTCATGAAAATTCTAGAACAGTCATTCTTTGACCGCTCTAATCTTACTGCCTCTTCCATCCCTTCTTTGCGACAGCAAAAGCCTCTAGCTAACTAGCCGCTGTAATAAGTGTGTCAGTTACTTGGCAGTGATAAACACTACAATAAAAAAGGTCACTGGGGCCACACTACAGTTCAAACTTCAGGACTTCTGGTTCCCAGGACACTTCCACAAATTGCAGTTTAATTCATCCGTGCTAGTTTAACCTAACAAAACATTGTACGTGATCATAAATAATGGAGAGTTTTCTGCCACAGTCAACAGTTTGCGCCAAGATCATGGAGCTCCTGGGCCAGAACAAAGTGGACCACCGCCAGAGGAAGGTAGCAATTATAAGCCAGGACAGCTTTTACAGAGTCCTGACTCCAGAGCAGAAGGCAAAGGCGCTGAAGGGCCAGTACAACTTTGATCACCCAGGTAGGCCCACGCTACAGACCGGTGTTTTTACAGTCAACTTTGTTTACAACAGCACACATGCCCAGCTGTGTTTATTCTAGAGTTGCAACGATTATTCGTTTTATTTATTCAATTTCCTCATCATCTGAAATAAGCCTGTATTGCATTATATTGACCCTCTTATTTTTATTACATGCTGCTTTCACTGCTGTATCTATTTTTCATGTCTTGCAGAGGCATTCGACAACGAGTTAATGTACAAAACCTTGAAGGACATTGTGGAGGGAAAGGTGGTTGAAGTGCCAACATATGACTTTGTCACCCATTCCAGGTTGGTAGGAGGCATAGTGATTGAGCCCTGATGAGAAATCCTCAGACCTCCTTTCTCAATATCTTTGTGTGTGTGTGTGTGTGTGTGTTTATAGGTTGGAAGACAGGATCACAGTTTACCCAGCAGATGTGGTCCTCTTTGAGGGGATCCTGGTTTTCTACCCCCAGAAAGTGCGAGATATGTTTCACATGAAGCTCTTTGTGGACACAGATTCAGACGTCAGACTGTCTCGCAGAGGTATGAAGGTCTCTGTCAAACACACAATATTCCAGTTGTTGTCACAGTTGATCAATGGTTTGACCTAATTTCTCTGTAGTTCTGCGAGACATGAACAGAGGGAGAGACCTGGAGCAGATTCTCACACAGTACACAACGTTTGTTAAACCTGCTTTTGAGGAATTTTGTTTGCCTGTAAGTATGACAACTTATTATCAGCCATTTTCTAGTGTCATTCAGTCAACAAACCTCTCTTTGAGCACTGTGTGACTATTTTGTTCTCTCCCAGACTAAGAAGTATGCAGATGTCATCATTCCAAGGGGAGTTGACAATATGGGTACGTTTTTTTTCCTGATAATAATTTCTCAAACATCATGAATGCTAGACAAATTCTTCATCTGTCTCTCATCAGTGGCCATCAACCTCATTGTGCAGCACATCCAGGACATTCTGAATGGAGACATCTGCAAATGGCAGCGTGGGTCCATCAACGGTCAGGGGCCAGGCTTCAAACGGGCCATTTCTGAGCCGGGTGACCTGCAGAGCGGAGCCACCAATCCTCCAGGAAAGAGGGTCCTGCTGGAGCCCAGTAGTCGGNTGCCATACTATACTATGACGTTTTTTGACATTTTTATGCCATACTATACTATGACGTTTTTTGACATTTTTATGCCTTACTATACTATGTCGTTTAAACTCTTACCATACTACGAAGTTTCTATCGCCTTTTATGCCATAATATACCATGATGTTTTTTTGACATTTTTATGCCATACTATACTATGACGTTTTTTGACATTTTTATGCCTTACTATACTATGTCGTTTAAACTCTTACCATACTACGAAGTTTCTATCGCCTTTTATGCCATAATATACCATGATGTTTTTTTGACATTTTTATGCCATACTATACTATGATGTTTTTTTACATCTATAATCTGACGGTTTTTTGAAACTTACTATACTATGACTTTGTTTGACACTTTCATGCCTTACTCTATTATGATGTATGTTCACATTTCCATGCCTCCCTATACTATGACATTTTAATGTCTTACAACACTACGATGTTGTGGTACATTTTTATGCCTGACATTTTTAAACATTTTTGTGATGATGAAGACGAAATACTCATAGTGAAATGCAACTTTATTAAAGGAACATCCTTATCAAACGTTTGTATATGATTTTCTTAAAAGTTCCTTATTAAATTCAAACATACAATGTTTTACTTTTGCATATATAATATGAACAAATACTGACAGGCTTTGGGATATATATAAATTACATATTAAGTAACAAATGTTTACAACATAAAAAGACGTACTAAAATGCATATTTCTATTAGCTAGACATTTATGTCAATACATGATATTGTTCCAAAATTCTGAAACAGGTTTCATATGTAATTTTCACACATTTAGGCTATACCTTAAAAACATATATGATTTTACTTCAAATGAACATATATTTCATATATAGAAATTCAACACATTATTACATTTGCGTATGGGTATTCCTTAATGTTAATTCAGATCTCATATGTTCATGAACCGGTTGGTGGATGGCAGTAAAAAGGTAATCTCTTAGTTTTGGAGGGGTGGCTTGGTTGTTGAGTTGTTGAGACCAAACTTACGCCCTTGATATGTAGTGATTTATCCTATTTTTCCTCACGAAACGGTCCTGTGTTGATACCATGGTTGATACTTCCGATTGAGACAACGTTCGGTCTCGCGAGAACAGCGCGTTGTTATTGCTAACAGATAGCATAGCTAGCATTAATCGAAGCTATCTATATTTCTGCTGTCTTTCGTTCCTGTTGGACTCCAATGGATGCTCTCGTGTCCCTGGACGACGCAGAGAGGCCACGGCATCGTCCTTTCTTAATCGGCGTCAGCGGAGGAACTGCAAGCGGCAAGGTCAGTCATTTTGAGCCGGAGGATCTCTGCGACAACGAAAATTAGCATCACGAGTAGCTTAGCTTAGTTTGCTAGTCAAACCAACCGTCAAACCAACTGGCACGCCCCTTTGCTTCGTGAATATTTTCTTTATATTATTTCATGAAAATTCTAGAACAGTCATTCTTTGACCGCTCTAATCTTACTGCCTCTTCCATCCCTTCTTTGCGACAGCAAAAGCCTCTAGCTAACTAGCCGCTGTAATAAGTGTGTCAGTTACTTGGCAGTGATAAACACTACAATAAAAAAGGTCACTGGGGCCACACTACAGTTCAAACTTCAGGACTTCTGGTTCCCAGGACACTTCCACAAATTGCAGTTTAATTCATCCGTGCTAGTTTAACCTAACAAAACATTGTACGTGATCATAAATAATGGAGAGTTTTCTGCCACAGTCAACAGTTTGCGCCAAGATCATGGAGCTCCTGGGCCAGAACAAAGTGGACCACCGCCAGAGGAAGGTAGCAATTATAAGCCAGGACAGCTTTTACAGAGTCCTGACTCCAGAGCAGAAGGCAAAGGCGCTGAAGGGCCAGTACAACTTTGATCACCCAGGTAGGCCCACGCTACAGACCGGTGTTTTTACAGTCAACTTTGTTTACAACAGCACACATGCCCAGCTGTGTTTATTCTAGAGTTGCAACGATTATTCGTTTTATTTATTCAATTTCCTCATCATCTGAAATAAGCCTGTATTGCATTATATTGACCCTCTTATTTTTATTACATGCTGCTTTCACTGCTGTATCTATTTTTCATGTCTTGCAGAGGCATTCGACAACGAGTTAATGTACAAAACCTTGAAGGACATTGTGGAGGGAAAGGTGGTTGAAGTGCCAACATATGACTTTGTCACCCATTCCAGGTTGGTAGGAGGCATAGTGATTGAGCCCTGATGAGAAATCCTCAGACCTCCTTTCTCAATATCTTTGTGTGTGTGTGTGTGTGTGTGTTTATAGGTTGGAAGACAGGATCACAGTTTACCCAGCAGATGTGGTCCTCTTTGAGGGGATCCTGGTTTTCTACCCCCAGAAAGTGCGAGATATGTTTCACATGAAGCTCTTTGTGGACACAGATTCAGACGTCAGACTGTCTCGCAGAGGTATGAAGGTCTCTGTCAAACACACAATATTCCAGTTGTTGTCACAGTTGATCAATGGTTTGACCTAATTTCTCTGTAGTTCTGCGAGACATGAACAGAGGGAGAGACCTGGAGCAGATTCTCACACAGTACACAACGTTTGTTAAACCTGCTTTTGAGGAATTTTGTTTGCCTGTAAGTATGACAACTTATTATCAGCCATTTTCTAGTGTCATTCAGTCAACAAACCTCTCTTTGAGCACTGTGTGACTATTTTGTTCTCTCCCAGACTAAGAAGTATGCAGATGTCATCATTCCAAGGGGAGTTGACAATATGGGTACGTTTTTTTTCCTGATAATAATTTCTCAAACATCATGAATGCTAGACAAATTCTTCATCTGTCTCTCATCAGTGGCCATCAACCTCATTGTGCAGCACATCCAGGACATTCTGAATGGAGACATCTGCAAATGGCAGCGTGGGTCCATCAACGGTCAGGGGCCAGGCTTCAAACGGGCCATTTCTGAGCCGGGTGACCTGCAGAGCGGAGCCACCAATCCTCCAGGAAAGAGGGTCCTGCTGGAGCCCAGTAGTCGGCCTCACTGAGACTGTGTGGATGCATGGACGTGGCTGTGAAGATGAGTGTGCTGCTACTGATTTGTGCAGCGGGGGTCAGCAACTGTGATGCCAGTCTCACTCTCTGCATCCTTTTTTAAATTGATATCCAAAATAACAATGTTGCAAGGATTTAGTGCTGCAACCTCTTTGTAACTCTACTGTAATTATTGGTACATAACAAACATGCTAATAGTTTGCTTTTCACATGTGAAAGTCTTCCATGATACTGTTTGATTTTTTTCAGTGTTTCACCTTGGTCAGACAAGCTGTTACTGAAATGGAAGGTCATGTGGTCGAAGGTAGGAGGCGTTATTTAATTGTTTAAATCCAGTCACGCTTTTGCACTTTGAATTTGACCTCATAATTACACAGTTTCGCTTTTTTGATGTTTTAGTGGAGATTAATATATTCAAATTATATTAACAATAATGTGATGTGGTTACCTCATTACTTTTCCTGTTTTTAATAACTTATTAAAATTAGGTCCATATGTTTCTGTAGCGTCTTGATACTGAGTGCTTCCTTTTGATTATTTAATGCTGATTACATGCCTTAACTTTTTTAAGTTAATTTTCCATGCACTATTATTCAACAATAAATGGAAGTTCCGTTATTAAGGTTTAAAAGGTCAGTCTGTTTTTTTTTTTTTTTGTCCAAAAAAAGAAATTTATGACTGACAAAGTGTGTATAGAAACAGAGCTGTTTGTTTTATTGGAGTTTGAGAACACAGTGTGATGTGTTGTTTTTGACCATTATCCCAAAAAGGAATCAAAATGATTTTACTACAGCACATTTTGGAATGACACACACACGTCACTGAGGACTTCAGTCACACACAAACACTTTCACACAGCGACATGACTGGGACATGATTGTGATTGCCTTATGGTTCTCTACACTTGAACACGGCACACAATGATTCAGTATGACATACATAGATCACAGCATCTTGAGTAATTTATCTTTTTGTGTTTTTGCTTTGCTTTTTTTAGTGCACATATGTATGGCACTTGGGAGAAGCTAAGCTCTTCTCATAAGCATAAACATCCTTTTTAAGAACAAAAGGAGCACTGTATATAATACATTTCATAACCATACATGATTCTTACACAAAATGTTTCAAAACAAACTCATAGGTTCCAGTCTCTAATGGTCATCCTCTCTTCAAGTTCAAATCCCCTCACATCCCCCTCCAGTGGACTCTCGGTCTGCAGCCTGCATGTTGACGTCACAGTTCACGGCAGGTCGCTCTCGAGGTTCTGCTGTTTGAGGGGAACTCATGAGTCGGGGAGAGGGTCGCAGGAAGATGACCAACAAATGGCACATACATAAAGGAAGAGGAAGGAGCAACTTGGAGAGTAATGGATCATTCAGCTCAATCTCACACACGCAACAGCTCCACTCTAAAACAGAGAGCCCAGGGAGCAGACTTTGGTTATTTCCTTAGCGTCTCCCTGCCCGCTCTGTGTGATTCTTCTCTCCTTCTTGGCACCAGGCTTCCTCCTGTTTCACCATAGTCACAATCTCTCCCCGTCTCTACGCCACAGCCACAGTAATCCCAATTATAATCTCCCAGAGCAGCAGAGCTCTTTGTAAACCTCAGCCACGCTTCAGTCTGTAGTTTGTTCTGCATTCCACACAATGAGTCTCCCATTTGCTCCAGCGGCTAGCTTCCATTCGTCCTTCTCTCAGTCTGTAGTAAAGTGGAGTTAGTGTCATGAAGCACAGTTGGAGGTCAGTCTCAGAAGGCCCATGGGCCCTAGGTCTTCTCCTCGCGGTCCGTCTTGCGCCTGGCGATGTTCCTGGGTTTGATCTTGAGCGACAGCTCCCACAGGGCCTCCTCTGCGAGGTGGTCACTGAAGTCGTTGAAGAAAGAGACGATGTCTTCGTTGCGCTTCAGCTCATAATGCCTGACATGAGAAGAGGTCGATGTTTGAATGCAGTAATTCATTAGCGAGAAAACAAACAGCCCATGTGGAGTTGACAGAAATGTTTTATGATATTAGAATTTAATTATAAACAAAGCAGGCGCATTATATTTCCTGCCAGTTGCAAACAAATGATGACATTTATTACTGTGTTTGATGTTTACCAAGCTTTTACATTAATATATCTTTTCATCATAAATTTATCCCCGTGGACTTACACTTGCTGGAAGCGTCGCATGCTGTCCAGGATGTTGAACTGCTGCCAGCGTTTGGAGAAATTGACCTTTCCGTCAATGAGGTCAGGGTTCCCCAGGTGGACGAAAGTCAAGTCCTGGAGGATTAGACCCCTGGAGGATGGACAAGTCATGTCAAATTGTGGCCCTCAGCAAAAATATGTACGAGTTCAAACACGCATGTAAACATTCATTCACTTACAGGTACGGGATACATGGAGGCTCCACTTCAGCCAGAGCAGCTCTGTATGCTCTGAAGGAGGAAGAGCTGTCGATCAACGTGCAATATTCCTCCAATCCCTGAGAGAATAAGGGGGAAGTGGCATATGAGGGAAAAGTGATAATCAAGATACTTAACAATGAGAAAAGATGCGAAGATTCAAGGAGATCTTGACAATACACCATCAAATGACATGACACATTGCTTTTATATGCTGACTTGCAACTCCTCCCTCACCTCTGAGGTCTGTTTCTGCCACTCCAATCTCCTGATGGGGGCAGAGTCCAGGGCGGACAGTATTGCCAGGTAGGAGTTGAAATTATTCAACTTTCTTAAGTGCTGTAATAATAAATGTGCATAGATGTTATTGCATTAAACAAAAAGAAAATGACACAAACATTAAGATATTTTAAAGTTGACTAACCTTCATTATCTTGATGAACTTGAGGAGCAGTTTCTCTCTGTCTTGGGCTTTCTCCTGCTGAATAATCAAAGAGCGGACCCTATAGGATAAAGAGAAATAAACACAATGGTGTCAACATTTATGCAGACAAGCTGGTATAAAAGAGAGGCCAAAAACAGCAATGACAGACAGTGAGATGTTTGAAGTTTTGTGGTTTTGGTCTTACCAATAGCTCATGTTGTTAAAGTGCTCTGTGAACTGAGTCAGGTTCGGACTCTTCTCCTCATTCTGCTCCTTGGCCCAAAGCAGCACCTCGGGAATCTGAAGGAAAACGAGAGGAGTTCAAATTGGGATCGACAATGTTGAAACAAAGTAAATGTCAACTAATACTGACATAAGCAACTAACTTGGACACAAAGAATCCATCCTACCTCTATTTTATAGAAGAGTTCAGCATCAAGAAGAGTGAGCTGATCTGCAATCTCATGACTGCGGAAGTCATGAAGAGTTCCAGGCCTGTTAGGACACAAAATTATGAGGTGATGACTCCAGCTTTAAGTTTTACGTTGTAGACTGGGAAGAGTCATTTCGATCCATTCCAGTTCTGTAGCTACAGCCAGTCTGTCTTGGTAATTACTTGCTGTTAAGCAAAATTGGTTTATAGAAAGTCTGGTCATAAATGTACAAAATGTAAAACGAAAATGAACTAAGAGTCTGAATCTCATGTTTTTATGTGTGTTGACATATTGACTCATTTAAACAATTTGAAACAGAATGAGTTAGGGTTATCCATACATATTAAAAGATCTGAATATACTTACCTTTGTAAAATAAGGTTAAAAGAGAACAGAATGAGCTGCCTTGTATTGAAATAATGGTGAGTCATTTTAAAAAGGCACCTTTAGACTGCATCAGCGATGACTATGCAAGTTTACTGCATGTCACACACAATCTGCATCACACATCGGTTTGAGGCACAACAGATTGTGCGATGGATGAATGGTTGATCTATCGTATCGCACAACATCAGCTCGCCACATCCATCTGTGCTGCTGTTTTGAAAATACTGCTCGGCAAGGTTTTACTCTTTAAGACCCACAGATTTTTTTGTTGTGTGTTTCCAGGCTGTCTTTGGCCACCACACAGTGCGATCCAGGAGCACAGTTTTGTATTGATTTTACCACGTATCTTTTTAAGATTTTCTAGTATGTTCATATCAAAGAGCTATAATATTGTATGTTTTGTATTTATGGACATATATATATATATTTCTTGTAAATGTCTGTATTCACTAGGAGTACATATGGTATTTTATATTACTGTTAAATGATAATGTATAAAGTATAGAGTCAAATGTACTTGAGGACACAGGGAAACAACCTCAGTGATGAAAGAAAGATGAATCATGAATAAAGCATGGTGTACAAGAGAGAAGTTTTTTCAATGTGTTTCAATAATGGATTCCATGGAAACATTATCAAACCATTATAAAAGCATTATCTGCGGATGACTGTTAGTTTAAGTAGTCTTGTGTGGTCTTATGGTGTCTGATGGCCAGTCTACCAGGCAATAAACAAAACACTGTTTGCTATCCCCAAGGACACTGAGCCACAGGAATAGCAAAAGAGTGTCGTTCCACTTGTAGCATCAACACACTCCATACAAGTTTCAGAAAGAGCTGACCCTTGACCCCCACAGTACCTTGCAGAGACCCCTCGGGCGGCCAGGGGCTTGAGGGAGTTAGTGTAGCGCAGCAGCTTCTTCTGCTCGACCTTATCCAGGATGTTCTTGCGGAGCACACGGGCAAGGCTGAGCTCGCCATTGCACACCAGCGTGAACACCAGGTCCATCAGCTGTTTCAAGATGTCCTCTGTCAGCTCCACCAGGCTGGAGGACGGAGGAAGAGGAGAGGGAAATGATTTAATGATTAAAATTTGTGATGGGGAAAACAGATCCCCTCCACACTCCACATCTACTTGGACACATGACCTTGAGGACGTGCACCACACAAAATGAAATGGTAATTTTCTCAGAATTAAGGACAAAATCACTGAGATCTACTCACCACAGCTCGTCCACCACACGAACCAGCACAAAAAACGTGTTCTTGCTGACTCGCTTCTTGAAGGTGTCCGGACTGTGGCAGAACCTGGTATATGTGCTTTGTGGTCAAGGACAATGAAAATAAAACTATATATGGATTACAAAGTACAATAACATTCTTAAGTAAGATTATAAGATTACATTTTATGAGGTAAGACAAGATGTGTAAAGTTTTGCTCTCTGTGCATCCCTCCACTGTTAGGACAGTTTGTGGTTCTACAAATCAATAATTATATGGCTTTTATCCCACACAGTAACTTCTGTCATAATCAAGTTAAAACAGCAACTTTACCTACTTTTAATACATATCAAGATATAAAATGGATGCAACAAACATGTTCATGACATAAAAACTGTAGTTTTCTCTCAGCAACATACATCATTACATAGTAATGTCAGTGTTATACATTATTTCTTGCAGTAAAAACAATGGGGCTGTAGCTAAATGTTAATTTAATTAACAATTAAACTGCTGATTAATTACTCAACAACTCTTTGACTGTTGGGTTTAAAAAATGTCAGAAAATGGTGAAATTGGCCGTCATAATTTCCTAAATCCCATGGTGATGTCTTCAAATTATAAAAAGTCCAAAACCCATATATTTTCAGTTTACCATCAAGTGAGACAAGAGAAAATGACAAAGGATTAATTAATTATCAAAGTTGCTGCTGATTAATTTTCTGCTTATCATATAATCCATTAATCAACTAATAATTCCAGCTCGATGCAA